AGTCACAGAGAAGGCCCTCCCCCGGGGATTTGCCAGTCGGCACTGGCTGGCGGGTGGAATTCGGAGGAGGCCTAATCTGTGGGATCTGATCGGTTGTAGGGAGGTAATTGGCAGGAGGTGGTCTCTCAAGTACCTAGGTCCAATACCATGTAGGGCTTTAAAAGTAACGACTAGCACCTTGAAGCATGTACAAAATAGTTTGTGTTCTGAAGAGGTAGCACAGAATTTTTAATTTAATTTGTCATACAAGAATTTCTTTAAATCCCGTCTATAACTTTCAGTTTCCACAGTTAAAGTGGTCACAAATATAATTAACACCTATGATTCTACACATGGACACTGCTACTGAATGCCTCTCTCTTATCTTAGAAGAAGGGAGCCAGACAAAACATGGGCACCATAGGGAAGATGTTAGTGGGAGTTAGGGATTGTAATAATTAAGAAACATGAGTATAGGTAGGTAGCAGGGGTGGGGGAGCTATGCCCATCGATCTTGTTTATTAAAAAATACCATACAGAAGAATGATGAGACTCCAAAACATTATCATTAAGGAACAGCAGTTCGCTGATACAGCTTCATGCACATTACTTAAAGAGAACAAGTGATGTTCGTTAATATGACACAGCAGCAATCAAAAAGTTATAGGTTCTAAGCACTTTATGGACCTCAGTATGTCTTCCACTATTTTGTAAAATAAGTTAGCATTATTATATACTAATAAATAGAAAGAATGACTACCATCACCTGCTAGATTTATGAACCTGAAAAAATCTGAACCTGGGCAGCTTGTTTTTAGACATTAATTTGAACTTAATTCAATAATCAGGTACATTAATTACTAATTACATATAATAACAGACAGACATACTTCAATTATTTTGTTCAAGAAATAGTTAACAGACCAAAAATCAAGCCAACAGATAATAGAATTTAAGATGTCGGACTTTCAGGGTTAAGTCAGAGCTTTTAAGGGCACATATTGCTGAGAAGCCAATTGTGATCATTTTATTAAGTAATTAAGGGCTACATAACATGCTACTGTAATGCCCCATTCAGTCAAATTGTAAATACAACTATTATGGCTGGGCTGATGTGCTCTTAATGAAAGCAACTTCATAATAAGCCACCCGATATTGTAATACAAAAAGCAGTGTATTCACAGCCATCTTTTTTGCTTTCTTTATCTGCTTTTAAACTTTGCCTGTGTTTCTTCCCTCCTTTCAGTCTTTGTCAATAAATCACATTATCTGATAGCTTTATTCATCTCAACCCAGCTACTGTAATCTGAGATCTGGCTCCGCTGATGCTCTGCATGGAATGCCAACACAGAGAGTTGATATCAGGCTTTTTTGATATCATGGACAACAATTTACAGAACAGGCAGATAGAAGTTTTTAACAAGGCTATTTTGCTAGGGGAAAGCAGAGGGAAGTACATGGGACACATTTATTCTCTAGTTTTAACTAACATTTAGTTTGGGGTGTGTGTATTTTAGTGCACTTAGGAATAATATTTTGTTAAAACATTGCAGCTATTCTCCAATATTATGTTTTAAATAAATGGTCTTTCAAAATTGATTGATGCATACATCTAAAAATCTTGTCCATAATCAAGTCATAAATAATATGCAAATGTACAACATATGAACAAAAATGCATATGAAAATTTAGTGCCAAGAAAATCTAACATCCCTTTGAAAACTCACGAATAGAGTCCCATTCGATGTCCCCTTGGGGTAGTTCCCAGCAAAGTGCCCACTCAACTGCAACTTTAAATTATGAAATGCAACACGTGTTAATGAGCCAGAAAATAACTTATCACATACTAGGAGGAAGCAGTTACCTGCATGTCGGAGCCAAACAACAGCTAAATTGTATCTTTCAGAGCACACCAGGGAACTCAGGAGGGGGAGGGCCGAATCGTATTCTCCAACATCAAGAAATGCTTCTGCAACATCAAGATACAAATCTCCCATATCCTCAGGATTCTGCTCCACTAAGATAGTCAAAAGGAACTTGCAAAGAAGAGCAAAATTAAAAATACAACTAAAGAAAGAGATTTGTTGCTTCTTAAGTCGGGAACACTAAGCAGAAGATTTAAGCTTGTATCTCCTTGAAACATTAGAAAAAAACATGCATGTATCTATGTATGTAGGATAAACACCAGAGAATTTGGAAGACATTAAACTTGGAAGGCTGCAGATTTGCCCTAACAATTTCAAAGCCAAATATTACTATTAAAGTATCCTAGCTTTAAAGATACTTTAAAAAATGCACAACATAGGAATTATTCCTACAGTGCCTCGAAGGCACAAATACTTCGATCAAATCAATCTAAAAAGGGAAATTCTGGTTCACTTTTTACTAGTCAAGTCTTTAGACTCTGCTTCCGGGGACTGCCTACTGAGCTAGACGGAGTTACTTTTATAAATAATAGTACTGTAACGGGAACATAAAATGTTTTTCTATGGAATTACACTATGTTGGATTTGATGAGATGCATATGCATGTTTTTTTTGCTTAAGAGACCCACTGAGGATGATTCTGGTTTTGTAAATATTAACCCAACTCACAAATTTCATAAACTGATCCCCTCCCAAGCCCATGCTAACTCATACTTCCACTCTTAATATTTTTAACTGCAAACTAATCGAGGTAATAAGTTTAGAGATATTGAAAATTAGAAGCGAACATACTTCAACTTTTAGATTTGTGTAGCCAGATGGAATACCAACGCAGTATCAAAAGTGAAATGCCCCAGATTTTTACTGTAATAAAATATATACAAATATGGGCATATACAAATTACTAGCCTTAGACAACTCCTGTGGGCTCTCCATGTGTGTGTTTCTAAGTTGCTCCAATTATCCAATTCTCCATTTCTAATGGAGAAAGAAAAGGTTCAAGAAAAGTCATCCTAGTGGATCTAGCTCTCCCTATGGATTTCATCCTTCCTTGCCCACCAGATCCCTTTGGAGAGTCTGGTCTTTCCCACACCAGCTCCAAACCTGAAACAAAGTCTGTGTAAGTGTATCCTACAGCTTGTAGCAATTGGATCTTGAATTCCCACTCATTCCAGAGAGTTCACTACAAGAACTCCCTGGAATTGCCCGACTTTTTTCTATGTAAAATTATAGTTTACCACTAGAACATTTAAAAAAAGAAAAGGTAGCTTAGGGTTTACTTAAATGTCTGCTTTTTCAAGAGCAACCCCATAAAGGCACATAGCAAACTGAGGGGTTTTCAAAAGTAGATTTTGCAATTTCTCAGGCATACCACTTTTTAAATGGAAAAAAGGGAAAATTCCTTAGTTTAATTAAAATTCTGAATTAGCTAGTACAGACTTTCGAGTTCATTCAGTTTTTGCTTCAACAGAATACAAATTAGATTGTGTATTAAATTATTTATATTTTTCTTTATTTGGTTCTTTACTTACATTGAGAGGCTCCAAGATATTCAGGTGAATCAAACACACCATGAGTTTCACAGTGATATCAATGGGAACACCATCAGGTATAGAGCATGTAATTTTTTCTGAAGCTAGAAAATAACAGCATAATTACATTTTCTAAATATTTTACAATATATCATGTATATTTTCTCCAAATAAATACGGGCAGTCCTTATTTAATGACAATTCAGCTGTCAAGTGAAGCAGTCACTAAGTGAAACTATGACCGTGGTTATAATTTTACTACAGCTTTCCCTTGCTCTACAGACCTGTGACGAACATAAATGTGAAGATTAGTCACAAAATTACTTTTTTGTCACCAGCGTAACTGAAAACAAGTCACTAGAATGAGGACTACCTGTAATCCACAATTTCAAAGGGAGAGTTTTGAACCATTAATAGATTTTATTTCTGCACACAAAAATGTTTTTCATC